ATAAGCCTATGAAAAAAGGGGCTTATTGTTGATGTGTTCCAAGTACGGGTGATTGAAAAGTAACCCTTTTTATTAGGGATCATTAAAACTCCAGACCGTTAAGCAAAAGAATGTCCTAAAGGGAAATTTGTGTGTGCTGGGAGGGAAAACAGAAAGGGCATGTGCACTAGGGCTTTTTTTGAGACTGTTCACCATGATTTGCCCCAATGGAAAGATTCCCAAATGAAAAGAAATTAGAACTTAAGTGCCTCCGGTGTTGGGGCAATGCCCTGGTCATCCTACAGACGTGGCGAGCGACTTTATGGGGACTGAAATTCTTTAAAGGTGAAGTTTTTGCCTCCTAATCCTCCTCTCTGAGCCCGGGCCAGCAGGTTTTGAAACTTCAAAAAATGTACACAAAAGTCTTTTTGAAAGGGCTTTTAGTGCCCTCAGAAACTCAACTGACTCAAAGAGAGTTTTGAGAGAGCACTTTTAAACCCTCAATTGTGTAAACCTATAGGAAAGGGCTTGGGAGGAGTGACTAAAAAAAGCCCTTGAATCTGCTTGGAAAAAAATGGGGCCAGAATGGAAAAAAGGGGGAAATTTTGAAGGGTTTGATGCTAACCTGAGAGGATTATGCCGTTGGGAATCCATTGTGGCTTTGGGGAAAAAGCCCTTAGGGTTGGAGGTTATGGGGAGATGTGGAAAGGTTGTTAAGGGGGACAATGAGAACTAACCCATGATGAGCTGATGATCAACTTCAAAGCAAAAGGCCAGCCCTGAGGAAACTGGTTGGGAGGGGAAGAAAAATTTGAAGAAGTTGCCTATACAAAGATTAAGGAAATCTGTGCAAAGTGGCTTGAAGTGCAAACCTTCATGGAGAAAATCCCCCTAAAAAAGCTATGCAAGCCGTGTTGGCAACCTGTACACTGCATGTTGTAAACACTTTTGGGGAAATCATGAAGGAACGGGGACAGGCCACTATGGAAGATTTGTGTGTGAAAGAAAAAGTAAATGACTCTGAAGTTGGTCCTGGGATTTAAAAAAAGAAGGGAAGTAACCCCCGAAAAGGACTGACACCTCAATCTTAATGGAAAGGGGGTTTTCCCCTCTAAACACTAACACCCCTCTCTCCCCCCCCCCCCCCCCCCCTTCCCATCAATCATCACCATCTTCAATAAAGTAAGTGTCTGTAATTGTGATGCCTTTTTTTTATTTGTGTGTATTAAAATTAACATTTCTGTGGTAAAAATTTTTTTTTTTTTTTACTTTTGGGTGTCTTGCCGGATTAATTGATTTCTTATTTTTTGGGGGAAAATTCATTCGCATACCCATCATTTCGATAACAATGGCCCTCTTGCCGGGTTAAAGTCGCTTGCGGGGGCCACGTTTTAGTCATTTTACAAAAATTTTTTTTTGACCGGCAAGTAATAAACGTACATCGAAATGTAGTGAATTTTTTCCAATTTTTTCCTATTTTTATTTAATTTTGTCTTTACTTTAACTTTACAAATTTAAAATTGTTATGAAATGGGAGGGGCTCAATGAGGATGGGAGGCCAGCAGGAGCATTCAGGACTGGTTAGTCGTCATGGGTGTGGTGTTAGTTGGGCTAATACAAGTTGTGTAATTTCACTAAATTTTGAAAAAAGGGTTTTCATCTATACATTTTTTCCAAATTGATACAGAAACACGATAAATTTCCCTAGAACTGTAATAAAACGCTGAAATGAATAATATATGCCATATGTGATTAGGGTAAATGGTGGAGGCTTCTGTTCTGGGATAAGATTATGAGATACGTTTTCTCGCTGTACCTCTGGTCTATAATGAAAGAAAATGGTGTTTACATCAGGGCAAACACTCCTAGATCACTCATCATAAGAAAAAATGCAAAAATAGTGCAATTTTTCCTGATTTTGTTTTTTGAATCATATACTATGCTCTGTCTCATGGCATCTTAAGAAAAGATTAAACTCAGTGAACAAGGTATGTTGATGGTAATAATTTATTATTTATAGTAATAATTTACAATAATTATAATCGCTCTGGAGTGTTTTAAATGTCAAACGTATTTCATGTAGGTTTCATAGCTGACATATAAAGCACTCCAAAGCAATTATTATTTATTATTATTATTACCATCGACATACCTTGTTCACTGAGTTTAAACATTTCTTAAGCTGCCATGATACACCAAGAATGTAAACACACACACCAGCTAACCCCTTTACTGTGAACTTTTGTACTTCCATTTTCCTCTTCCAAGTGCTGCTGCACTTTTAACTCTATCTTTTACTATGGGATGCACAACAAAGTACAAATTTATAGATGAAATATGTAGTCTTGGAGATTGCTTGATGCTGAGATGCATCACTAAACCCTTTACAATGAACTTTTGTACTTCTTCCATTTTCCTGTTGTTTTTCCTCTTTCAAGATGAAAAACAACAGGAAATTTTTACAAATATGTAGTCTTGGAGACTGCCAATGCTAGTGTACTGAGTGGCTGTAGGAAGGAAATTGAGATGCTTGATGCTGAGACACTGTGCTGCCCATTCATGACCCAAGTTCTCGTACAGTATACAATAACTACTTGTCAGAGAGCCCATTGTAACTCTGAGTTGTCGGTAAACGAGTACGTTGGTAAGTGAGGAGAGGCTGTATTAAATTGGTGTTTTTTGAACTGTGTGGAACTGGCCAAATTACCAAATTCTGTGCACTTTATGGGAAGTTGTAATAGTTGAATAGGTGATTTCTTGTGCTCGTGAGATAGAACAGAAGACATACTAGCGAAATAGCTAAGAATTTGGTCAAATTGAGCAATGCAATCTATTTAAAATAGGACTCCAATTTGGTGAAATCACCACTGCATAAATTGTGCCCAGACCGTTAACTTTGTGCTTGCATAATTCCATAAGTTTTCCAGCAAATTTTGTACTTTTGGTGTCTGGACAGAGTTAAAACAGGAGAGGAAGAAAGAAACGCCTCTAACTGGTCCCCATGAGAATCAGTGAAATCCAGAGCAAATGATAAGCATCAAAATCACCTAAACAGGAGTGGTATAGTTAAGGAAAAAATCAGAAATTGGATGGCAGGATTAGATAGAGTTTTGGTGACTGGTGAAGTTTTAAGGTTTTGGAGAATGAATTGAGGGCCCAGCCAGGCAAGACTTTGTGGGTGGAGAAACACTGGAACTGGGAGAAGACACAGGTGTTTGTTATTATGGAAGAAAGCAATGAGGCAGGAACATCAGAGCTGAGGATTTCAGAAGGGTTGGAAATGGGTGACTGCAGGAGAGGGTACAACAGGGACTTGTAGGTGCCGCAGAGCTCTGAGGTACGAGAGTCGTGAAGTATTCCTTGGAGATGTAGTCGAGTCAGTGCCAAAGCATACAATAGATCCTCTTCTGTAATGTGGCAGGTTTTGCTCTTATAAGAGAACTGGACAGTGACAGGATTAGGCAGGGTGAACTTCACAGCAAGTAGGTAGGAGGTGGGATTGGCAGAGGATGGATTATAAGCTGTACTGCAGACTCCCCCTCAAGGAAGGCTCCTTGACGCTGGTGAGGGGCTCTTGATCTAGGGAATTGGATCTGTGCTCCAGTTCCCTGAATTAAGCCTGAATACCTTCCATCCCCCCATAGGCGCTGTATAATCCTACGGGTTTAGTGCTTCCCCCTTGATTATTATAATGTACTGCAGACTGGGCCTTCTACTGGTGATTTGTAATATTTGGTTGAATGGCCAAAGCACAAGCAATGTCTGCATTGCTGAGATACTGGGCACAGTTCTTGTACCTGTAAGCACTGACCCATAACAAACTGAGGATGGAAGGTCTTAGGTATTATGGTTGGTTTGTCAACATGCTTATTACGTTAGCAACCCCAAGTAGGGCAAACATAAGTTTCCACTTTGGTAATAGGGAGATGCAGTGGCTCAAGTTCCTCTTGACTATCTGGATTACACAGCAAATTTTTTTTTTTTTATTAGACTACAGTTTGTGGGAGGAGAACATGGCTAGAAATGAGGTTGAAATGTTTGTGTATTGTGACTGGTATTGTCCATAGAGCTGGTAAGTGAAAAGATTTTTAGCTTGTTCAGCATCCCAATCTTGAAGGCATGATAAGATGCATTTTGGCTAACATGCCTCAAGAAAGCTTTGCTAATGCCATGGTATGTAAGAAAATCAGGTGTTGGCTGGAAGGAAAAGATTTTTGTCCTAAAAGGAGATTTCCAGGTAGCTTGAGTGAGTGAGGAAGCAGGACAGTTCTAGTATTAGAACAGTATTAGGAAAAAAACTAGAGGTGATTGAGAGGCTGAAGGGTGGTGCAGGCATCACAGAGACTGTGGTGTTAGAGAATCAGTGATCCAGTCAATTCACGACTGAGGCAAAGATAAGGGCTTGTGCAATAATCCTCAGCATGACACAGCAAAAAGATTAACCCGTAAACGGTCCAAGCAGATCTACGTTCACGTGTAGTGCTACAAAAGTAGATCTACGTTTTTTTTTACACATTTTCAAATTTAAAAAAACAAGAAGATCTACTTTTTTTACATTCAAATGTTGAAAAAACGTATATATACGTTTGGACTGTTTATGGGTTAAGGAATAGGTACACAGCCACCACTCTCGATTCATTTAACATGTTAAGCATCCTAAAGGAGACTTGAAGGTAAGAACATAAGAAAGAAGGAACACTGTAGCATGCCTACTGACCCATGTGAAGCAGGTCCATGCCCCCCCCCTCCCCAGATTAGCCCAATGACCCACCTAGTCAGGTCACTTCCACTTAAGGAAGGAGCACAGCATCAGACCTAGTAGCACAAGCTAGTCAGGTCCAACTCTCGCCCACTCCTGTATTTATCGAACCTATTTTTAAAACTACACAATGTTTTAGCCTCTATAACTGTACTCTGGAGTTTGTTCCATTCATACACTATTACCAAACCAGTGCTTTCCTATATCCTTCCTGAATTTTTCCAACTGGAAACCATTGCTGCGAGTCCTGTTTTGGCTGGAAATTTTCAGCACGCTATTTACATCCCCCTTTTTTTTTTTATTCGTTTTCCATTTATACATGCTGTATAGCCCTTGTGGCTTAGCGCTTCTTTTTGATTATAATAATCCATTTATACACTTTGATCATATCCCCCCTAATTCTACGCCTTTCGAGAGAGTGCAGATTCAGGGCCCTCAGTCTATCCTCATAGGTGTGTAACACAACATGTACAGTATTAATGTAACAACAATTTTTTAACTAGTGTACTCGTTTTAACTGAACCTTACTAGAGTTCGAGTATTTAACAGAGCATCATCATTAATGTTTGGTTAGAAATTTTTTTTTTATGACTAATATTAAAGAAATTTGTTACAGCCCTCTCAGAGGTCTGAAGAATGCAACCCTACTTTTTCCCATGCTTCAGTCCATAAGTTGAGTGAATCATTAATAGTGCAGTTTTTATGATGCACTGTATATATAATTAGCTGACAAGTCATTCACTATTTAAAAAGAGAAAGATGCTGTCTTGCAAAAGAAATTACAAATGTTTTGTAAAACTTTTATATTCCATCACAGTCAAGAAAACCATAAATGAGTCTCTGTTGGTGCATAAGTATTGCTAGCTATATCATGAATTTATGATGGTAATAGTTTCATCTTTTTAATTAAACAAAGGTTCAGCAGGTGGTGGTTTGTCATAATGAGGATGATGAAAAGTCAGGCCAGGTGCACCCAGGGATGTTGTCCATACTTGGTAACCTGCATCTTCAAGCTCCTTGCAACAGGCAGAAACTCTGGCTTCAGGGGTGGAGATTCCTAAAACAACAATGCCAAAACCACCACCCCCTGCACCAGTAAGCTTTGCATGCAAGCCATGAGATTTAGATATACCCACCAGGCGATCTAAGCTAGGATGTGACACACCCAAGGCACACAGTAGTGCTTGGTTAATGTCTATTAATTCAAATAAAGTACTATAAACAGAGTTACGTTCATCGTCCTCTGTGGCAGAGGCAAGCTGACGCAATACCTGGAGACCACGGTCAGCAAGAGCATCAAGAGACTCTAGGATTGGTTCTAAAACTGGCATCAAACGCTCTCTCCTCTCACGAACCCCAGTCACCAGTGCTTTTGTACTGCGTGGTACACCTGTGTTGACTAAAAGCACCTGCAATGGTGGCACATGCATAGGAGAACTGTTGCCACATTTGAAACTAACAGCCCCACCATAGGTGCAAATGGAATTATCTATACCAGATGGTGTTCCATGAACTATCTGTTCACTCTTGTATGCCCAATAACAAACATTTTTTAAGTTACTAAAACTAGTAATGTCACTAATGCTGCCATCTATTGTAAAGGAAGACAACTGACATGGATTTAGGCTACCAGATATATGAAGCAGTGCTGCAGATAAGCATACTGCATATGCAGCAGAACTACCCAAGCCAGCTCCTGTAGGTAACTGGCTGTTAACAGAAATGGTGAGGGCTACTGGACATGGTAAGATAGCCAGGTATAGATGCAAGAATGACAAGAGGGCCAGTTTCTGTGGACTGGCCACTTCCCCAATACTCAAGAACTGACGTAAATAAGCTGCTTGCTCTTCTGACAAAGGGGTTGCATCAGATTCCTCTTTGCATCCCAATTGTCTCCAAAGATCTTTAATCATATCAAGTGGCCATGATTCATTAATCTTGACATCAGGCAGGTCAAGAGTGACTGAATTGCCACCTGTAGCGAGTGTGAGATGAGTGCGCAGGTTGAGGCTGAGTGCTACTGCTTGCTTTCCATAAACTACAGAGTGTTCACCATGAAGGATAACCTTTCCTGGTGCACTCAACTTCACAACCTGGGACATCCTTTCATTATGGTTGCTATTTGTTGTCATATTAAAACTGGCTTTAATTATGAAAACTGCTCTTGCCTTTTCACTGAGCTTCACATTGCAAGCTTCTGATGCAGGCACTTTCCCTTTCTTTGTAAGCTTACTGCTGTTGCTGCTCCCACTGCTCTGGAGTTAATGTCTTCATGGAAAATGCATGAATGACTTTAAGTTCCTCTTGTAAGACACCATTCACTAATCTGTAATTAAAAATTTTGAAGTTAACTTCATTTAAAACAAAATTGTGATAAATAATGTTCTCATATTTATCAAATTGTTGCTGCAATTCAATTTGCAGGTGCAGTACATTTATCAAACATTTGTATTCATAATTCAACTGACTTACATTGGACCAATTACAAGTGATGAACCAGATTAATGTGTATACTAAGTGCAATGCAAACAATGATTTATTATAATATTCACGAGAAAGTACTAAACCAGTGGTTCTCTTTTTTTTATTATTCCAGCATTAACATATATTGTCAGTTGAAAGAGTTGGTTTATTATTAACTTGGAAGCTCACTGCGTCTTCCATGGATGTCACTATTACAGTCAATTGCCATATGGCTTGTCCACAGTACAATAGACATCAAACTATAACGAATAGGAAAAAAAAAGGCAGAATTACTGCATGACCGTAGGCAATACCATGACTAGAGCCTGAGTAAATGTCAAGCACTTTCACTTGTTTGTATCCTTTAAGATCGATTTAATTTTTTTTTAATGGTTCAGCATTATAATAATACCTAAGCTTTCTTAACTTGGATATATAATTATTAGAAAAGGAAGCACTAAACCTGTAGAGGGCATACAGTGTCTTGGAAATGGGAAGCAATCAAGTTTGATTAGAGTAAGCCAAGGGTAGCTCCAATTCCCTAGATCAAGAACCCTGTACTGGCGTACAAGATAACACAGCCTATCCTTCAATTTTTGCACGCATTTTTATTTAAAGCTCTAAAAAAATGTAATATGCGTTTTTCTAAGTTAGGTTCGGTTAATGTAAATTAATCTACATATGCGTATCGTACAACGGTACGAAAATACAAAGAGTGACTTACGTCTGGCAGTGGTGGGGGATATAGTATACAGAAGTTTCTTACAGCGTTGGTATTCCCACGGACATTGTTTAAATTTTAGGAACGTCTGCTTAACCACCTACCCACTGTTGGTTCCGGTAAAGAAGTGATCACAGGGGCCACCTGAAGGTCCAGCTAAGGCGTTGCCTGTGATGCCGCCAGCCACTACAGTTACAACTTTCTCACTGTCACTCCTTCACTTATTTTCTAAGCATCTTCATATTAATTTAAAAATTTCTTATCTATTAACGAAAAGGAAAACAAACAACTAATAAAACTTATGCCAACGTTGTCTTAACACGATAATTAAAATAAAACAAACTACAAACCAGCGTTCAGATCACTGCACCTGAGAGGTAGGCAAGACAGTGGTGGTGTCCCCACAGTTACCCGTTACCATCAGCGTTATTTCCTAAAGCTTTGTCTTGCGCTTTTTCCCCCCCCCATTCCCCACTAAAAGCCCATCAGACAACACCTAACTACCACTACGTCAAGTTCTGCTACCACAAATAATAATATATCGTGAGTTATAGCGTACAAACGGAGCTTATTCAGTGAACTGTACAATGCCCTAGTTGGCTGCTTAGAAGTGTCAAAATCATAAAATATACTACCACTGTATAGTAGCTATTTGTAAACCGTAATAATTTTAAAAGTATTATACGCATAAATGTTGTTTAACAGCACATTTAATATACAAAATATATTTTCACAGGCAAAATTACTAAATTTTAAAGGAAACTATTGTAGCCAACGTTTAAGGAAAAAAAAAAAAGCGTGTTCACTGTACCATGGATGTTCCATTCCGGAACATGACACTTGATATATATCAGTGTCACTGAGTATTTCAGCCACCGATATATATACAACTTTCCTAAAAGATCTTAAGTTATACTTAAAGAAATCTCTGAAATCCACCACTGTATGACCCTTGTGGGTTTAGCTCTTATGGTTATAATAAGAAAAACCCAGATGTTGCACTCTCATTAGTCAATTCTACGTTACTTTTACATTAATTCCCTCTACCCTTTCACCATCCACTGCCCCGCTGTTCTCCGTAACCTATTACTCATCCATCTCCCTTTTACCACCTGATACCCTCGCTTCCTTCTTGCCCTACAGCGCTGTATAGCCCTTGTGGTTTAGCGCTTCTTTTTTATAATAATAATTTTACATTAATTAAATTTCGTGTAATGGTACCTAACTAAAGTTGTAAACCAAACACTTGTTAGGTATAGTGCAAGGACAGATTATACGGGAGACAGGAAAAAAAAAAAAGTGGAAAAATTACGTAATGTACACCCGTGCATGGTATGCCTGTCTGGACTACACTGTTACCATTCAGTTACTAGCCGACTCTAGTGGTACATGAATGACTCTGTACCGTAAGTTATAAAACTAGTTGATTGCTGCTTAGGGCTAGGTAATAAGTTCAGCACAAAGACATTTATTATGGAAACAAATCACCCAGTAAATGAAGTTTTTATTATACATATATTAGGGCTGCACTTTTTTTTTTTACAAACTTTTTGGTATTTGATACCATCTTGGACCCAGGCCCAGCGCTGTACGACCCTAGCGGGTTTAGCGCTTTTTTATAAAATTGGACCTAGGCCAGTTAATGCAGTATAAACAATGTGTTTAGCGTTTTCAAACGGAACTATCATTAGAAAAAATATAGATTCTGTATTACATCTTACAAAAGAGATTCGTAAGATATTTAACGAACAAAATATATGTTTTTAATTGGCTAATGTAGACATACGATAAAATTTATGCTGATAATATTATGCACCTTAAACCAGCATACTATCTAGGGTGACCTAAAATAAATACCTCTATAAACTTAATAAATACATTAACTTTAACATCAGTTGTAAAAGCGATAGTTTTTCTCTATTGCAAGCTGTTCCTAACAGAAAATCACCGGAAATACCTGGAACCTGTAGCACTTCAAGACAACACGCACAATGAGACCACCACTCCCATGCCACTAACCACCACCACCACATTCATCTACCGCACAAAACTACTGACACGCATCGCCACCAACCCTCACCACCATTGTTATCAGTTAAATGGTTTTGGAGATAATCTTCCCGATTGCTTGGTTTCAGACAAGGTCTCCGGTGCTGGAAATTAAATACGTATTACAGGATTATTAACTATTAAGCACAGAAAAATGAAGGTAGCGCATAAGAAAATAAAGGTATGTGTAGAGAAAATGTAAGAATTGTGTAAGACTTGCTTGTCAGATCAACAATTTTGCAAGGGTGCAAAAAATAAAACTGGTTTACATTTCACGCATCTGGCAGGAAGGTAGTACCTCCCTGGATGGTTGCTATCAACATGCACCACACATCTCGACAACCGCCCAACTCACTTGCCACACTACTTCCACACACTATCTTATATGTAAACCCGGCATTGTAAACTTTATAGAGAATAAACTTGATTGATTGATAGCCTCCTTTTACTAGTGCTGGATCACCTGAGTTGTGATGGCTGTGCGCGCCTGAAGGCCTTAGCACAGCCTAATTAATCAGGCTGTCAACAGGGGAGCCAGGTCTCAGGCCGGGCTACTTTGGTAGAAGTCCTCAAAATCGGTCACGAGTAAAGCCACACTCGCCTATCACCACCTCCAACCACCATCACAACATTTACCTACCACATCCACACCACCATACAGTTACCTATCACACCACTACTACAAACCTACAACACTTCACCAATACACTACCTCATACCTACCATACATCAACACCGCATCCACACACCACTCATACATCAAAACCACCTACCACTCGTGCATCAAAAAACTACCTACCACTCATAAGAACATAAAGGAACACTGCAGCAGGCCTACTGGCCCATGCTAGGCAGGCCCAAGCCACTGACCCAACCTAGTCAGGTCACATCTACTTAAGGAACAAGGCATCAGACCTATTAACAAAATTATTATAATCAAAAAGAAGCGCTAAGCCACAAGGATTATACAGCCTATTAACACAAGCTAGTCAGGCTCAACTCGCACCCACTTAATGTATTTATCTAAGCTATTTTTAAAACTACACATCGTTTTAGATTCTATGACGGTACTCGGGAGATTATTCCACTCATCCACAACTCTATTACCTAACCAGTGCTTTCCTATATCCTTCCTGAAAATGAATTTTTCCAACTTAAAACTATTGCTACGAGTCCTGTCCTGGTTAGATATTTTTAGTACTCTATTTACATTCCCTTTCGCCACTGTGTAGCAAAACGTTTCCTCAATAAAGATACCCAAGAGTTGCACATGTGTCTAATTTAACAACGTGTCGGTTCTTTGAACCATTCATCTACACTCTTGATATGAAGCCAAAGATATTTCTGTCCGCTTAATTGCATATACCTATTGCACTGTTGTCTTGGTTTTAGATTACTGCTAACCAGAACTCCCAAATCCTTTTCGCAATCAGTAATATTAAGATCTACATTATTTAGTTTATATGTAGCATGGTTATTTTCATACATCAAAACCACCTACCACACATCACAACCCACACTCACCTGCCAAACATCACCTCCGCAAATATTTAAAACTTTTATTCATCCAAAGACACTAATTCCATTAGTGTCACGCAGAGCTGAAGTTTCAAGAAATGAGAGAATATCTTCCTCATATATACCAAAGAAATTGCTTGCCTCTTCATCCATGGGCAGCGTTGTATCACCCTTATGCGTTTAAGCTGGCACTGGACAAACACCTAAAGTCGGTTCCTGACCAGGGGCTGTCCGCGGGTTTGCCCCG